TTCCCTAGAAGAGTAGTGTCAATATCTCCTTAGTATAGTATAGAAGTTTAAGATCTAGAGTGATCACCTTAATCTCTAGTACTTTCAGGTGCCTCAGAAGCTCAACTACTACTAAGCCTACTAGATGTTAGAACTGTAAGACTATGACTTTGTGCTGACTCACAAACCCAGAACACAAATGACAAAAACTGATTTACTCTTAAGACAAGTAGGTTATGAAAGGGGGGAGAATGATAACAAAAATCTTGTTCTCCTAGACAATTCCTGTTTTGTGTCTGAGACAATCCAAGAGATCTGACTTGAATCTAAGGATGTTGACTTTGTTACTTGTATACAGTAAGCTCTGAAACACATGTAAGACTGAGTTATAGTAAAGTAACTAGAGAAGTAGGCTAAGAATTAGGAGGAGAATGAGGATAGACAGGTTTACTAAGAAGGCTGACTATACATTCTAAAGGATCAGAAGCTGTAGGAGGACATTGTCTGAGCTCATTACAACAATCCAACTGTAGGACATTCAGGCTAACACAAAACACAGGAACTCATTACTCAGAACTACTAGTAGCCTAGAATGTAGAGGGAAATCCTAAAGTATATGACTAGTTACAATATGTGCTAACAGACTAAGGCCTACCAGACAAGGGTTTGGGCTCCCCTACATCTGTATTGAATCCTGGATCACTCTTAGGAAGAAGTCTTAGTAGACCTGATTAGTAAGCTACCCAAGTCTTAGGGTTACAACACTATCTGTATAATTGTTGACTGATTCTCTAAGCAAGTTCACACAGTTCTGACCCAAACAGAACTCACTTCTGAAGGTATAGTGTACATTTATCAGAATCATGTTTTCTAGTTACACAGACTCCCTCAGAAGCTCATTCATGATTACAGACTGTAATTTGAGTCAAAATTCATGTAGGACTTGTATGTACTTCTTAGAATTTAAGGGAACCCTTCTACTACCTATCACCTACAGACTGACAGTCAAACTGAGCAAGTCAATCAGGAGATTGAGCTCTACCTCCAGATGTTTATTAATCATTAGTAATCAGATTGGTCTGAATAGCTAGCTCTGACAGAATTTGTACATAATAACTAACAACACTCTGTAACAGGACAGTCCCTGTTCTTCCTCAATCATAAGAGACATCTGTACTAGGGGACTGTTCTGAACTGGAATGACAGTTCCAAATCTGTAACAGACTTTACAGAACAGATGTACAGAACTAGGGAGGACACACAAGCTCTTTTAGAAAAGGTAGTATAAGTCATAAAGTAGAACTATGATTGGAAGAGGTCTGTAGTCAAGGATTACCAGCCTAGTGACAAAGTTATACTAGAAGCTACTAACCTGACCACAGATTACTTAATAAAGAAGTTGGACAACAAGTGCTTCAGACCCTTTGTTATTAAAAAGAAGGTCAGTGCCTCTGTCTACAAACTCCAACTTCCAGTAATATGAAAGTGTATACACTCAGTGTTTAACAAGGTTCTACTGTCTTAATACTATGATCCAGGTTTTCCTTTACAACAAAGACCCCTACTACCTCTACTAGAACTTATTGGTTCTGAACTGGAATACAAAGTAGAGTATGTAGTAGATACTAAGCTAGTGTACAGAAAGCTTAAGTTCCTTATCTACTAGAAGGGATACCTAGTTGAAGAACACACTTGGGAACCTGCTGAGAATCTCACCTATACTACTAAAGTAATCCAAGACTTCTATCAACTTCATCTGAGTACTCTGTGTCAACTCTGCCTTACAGATTTCCAAACCCTACTATTCTAACTTATGCCCAAACTACTGACCAAGCCTAATGCTCACCAATCAGGACAATTGGTTTTAGAGGGGGGGTGATGTTACAGTTCTCTACTCTCATACCTTCAGTTCTAAGGGTTCTACACCCTTTTGTACTAGAACTCAGGACTTCTGTCCCTTAGGGGCACTGTCTATAAACTATATGCATGCTGACTCTTGCCACTACCCTTCCTTACTTTATCATTCTATTCCTTTGACCACCCCTTCATTCTTTGTATCATTCTATAGTCTCTTACCCTTTGTCTATCCCTTCATTCTTTGTACCTTTATCTTTAACATTCCTTTCTTTCATTCTTTGTGACTTATCATTCTTAGTAGCTCATGCTCCCTGAGTGCTCTTGTGTAGTTTAGTATATATAGGCATACAAGATCAGACTGGTCCTGTAGTCTTGATCTTGTCTACTCCAGGTAGTCCTGTACTCTTAGGCTCACTCTATATACTCTACTCTTGTCTCACTCTCTCTCTCTGCCTGCTCCACAAGTTCTGACTATGTTCCAGTGCTTGCGTTCCGTATTTCTGTTGTGTAGGATAGTTGTAGCCTGGGTCCCCTCACTGAGCCTTCGGGTCCCCTCTACGCTGTCGCTGACAAGTACCTCGCTGCAACTAGAAAAAGGATGCTATAATTAGCAAATCAGTTTATCCCGGAGTACTATAGAGGACCTTACATTCTTCGTCATCACCATACGCGGTGTTCACTCCCGTCCTCTCCGCAACAATGCCCTGCGGAATTTGGTTGAGCTCGTCCTCGCTCGGCATGAGTATGTATGTGACTTTCCCTTTTCCTGTCGGAGAGGCTTTGGCTAGGACGCGTGAGAGAGAGAGAGTTGATTGATTTTCAGTAATGGCGTCGTAGACGTATTCGACGTTATGGCCCGAGGAGGCTGAAATAAGTGCTTGTTCCTATTCCAAATGTCGTGAGAATAAATTACATAGGAAAATTTATTTTAAAGATCAGTACGCACCAGAGCATCACCTTTATGCTCGCGATAATCAATAATAACATCTGCGCCGAGACTTTTTGCGTAGTCCTTTGATGATCCGGCAATACCGATAACGAACAAGCCTGCTCGTTTCGCGAGTTGGACAACGTAGGCGCCGACTGAAGAGGAGGCTCCGTTCACGATGATGCCTTTCTGCTCACCTATTGCGCAAGACGCGAGTAATCTAAGTTGATACTCTCCGAACTCTAAATATAGAGATATAAATATTTACCGGTGGAAGTCTCTGGAATCCCAAGACGCTTGAAGAGACCGATCGCAGCTGTCATGACTGCAAGTGGTAGAGTAGATGCTTCTTCGAAAGAGGTTGATTCTGGAATTGGGAAAGTATCGGAAGCGAGTGCCACTGTGTACTGTGCATACGCCCCGTACTATTTCAACCTTCTTGTCAGAAATTCTACTCCTCAAATCATTTCGGAGTCAAAACGTAAATAATTACCTTGGGGTCCATTGTCCGCATTTTACTGAACGCAGCCACACGCTCGCCACCCTTAAATTCCGTCACTCCCTCGCCGACTTTTACAATGTAGCCTGAAACGTCGTTCCCCTCGATCCCCGAATAATTAGGAGTCCATTGAGGAACCTTCCAGTCTTTTGGGTTCGCAGCGACTGCGACGTTTTGGATGAGAACTTCCTTAGGTCCCGGAGAGGGGACAGGAAAGGATTGAAGGGTTTGAGAGGTGTTGGTTGAGAGCACGCCGAGTTGAGTTGCTGGAAGAGACATGGTGAATGACTGCAAGTAAATGAAGGAGTGTGGGTCCTGTGTGTTAGACCTGAAGTTTATATATTATCCGTTTAGCGATCCGGTCCGCTGACTGAGCAGGTACACATGCGAAGGAGCTGTGAGTATGTTGTGCTTAGACACTCATATCATACTATATATGCAGCTGACAAAGCCAGTATCATGACGTCATCCTGATTGACAGACGATGTCCCTTTGAGCCTTTGAGGCGTCTTCGGCGGTCTTGTACGAAGCTGCTGCTCTCAAAATACTATTTACTCTACGTAATCGGAAGGTAACTGGAGCCAAACGAAGCCATTGAATGACTGAGATGCATATGATTAATAATATTAGAGAAGTAGCGTTGCTCACCGACCTAAATGTTAACGAATGCCACATTTGGAGAGTTCTCATACTCCCTTATTCAGGACACTCACTGTTACCTCCCAACCTTGTTCTTTATCCTTTATACAGGACGTAATTTACCCACCAAAGCCTCCAATACAAATTCAAAGATACAACGTTTTGTGTAGGATCAGTGGCGAACTGCGCGTTAATAAATATGTGACGCCTAAAATCAAGCACGAGACAGTGTTTATATCACAATAACAATGAATCGAGGCCCTATCCTAGCTGAGGTGTACTATAGAAGGTAGGTTCCAGTTATTGGGCATTGCAAATATAGCAGAGCAGCTGTAAAGCATCAAATACCTCTGAACGTGTCAATACGAGTGCGAATGTCGGAACAAGTAGTGACAACAGTGTCAGAGGTAAATCTATACAAACGTATGGTGGCACATTGCTGATCCCTCCTTGACCTCTTTCGAGGTAAGACCGCCGAAGTGTCCGGGAACAAAGAAGGCAGTACATAGCTTAACACCTTGTAGTCTAGACAAAATCTGCCGATTGCACTCGGTTGATCTTTGTTTTGATGAACAAATCATCTCGATTCCCGGCACATCATCTAGTTGCTCATCTGTATCTCACAATCCGGGTCTGACGTAAATCAGTCTCCCAAAGTCAATGCATCATACATTGGGATATAGTTGCCGTGGTCCGGTTCTGGACCGGTCCACCCCTCCTTTACCTGGACTGTAACCCGGACCTCTTCATACGGTCCGGGTAAAGGAGGGACCTGGACCCGAACCTTTGTGGACCGCTGTTGGACCGGACCTGAGGTCCAGTCCAGGTCCGGTCCAGGTATGACCTGGACCAGTAGAACTTATACTTACAGTCGACTCAAGAGTGTGTCCCTAATGTGAGTAGAGGAGTTCAAGCATCCTACAACAAATAGTGTCTATTCTTTTTTTTGTAATATGCAGCTAGTGCTTTATACTAGACTATTTACAAAGAGAATAATAATGAGTTTTAAGAATTTCAATTGCTTCAAAAGTTTCTGGAAGAAGTTGGTTACACTGCTTTGTATCTACAAGCCCTGCACCTGAAAACACATGCTCACAAGGTACAGAGGAGCCTTGTATAGCAAGGTAATCCTGAGCTATATGAGTAAGAATTGGATAACAAATACTATTCTCCTAAAAAAGAGTGTTAGTACAAGGAATGAATAATTGTAGTTCAACCCAGTCCAGATATGTAAATTGTAATGCTACAGTACATTTTCCCACAGCTTCATAGCTAATTCTACTGTATTTTAATACTTATTTCTACTACTTTATGTATGTATCAAGTGAGGAGTGAACACCCTGAATTATATGTCAACTCAACTGGGTGTTCTTGTATTAAAATAGAAACATGGGTCCTGGGTCCAGTCCTCAGTCCTTAAGGTCCAGTCCAGTCCAGGAAAATACAGCATTTCCTGGACCCGGAACTGAACCTGTTCTGGACCTGATTGGACCGGACCTATTGTGACCCGGACCTCAGGTTCGGTCCTAGGGTCGACCCGGGTCCATTAGGTCCAGGACCGAACATCAGCAACTATACATTGGGATGTGATCGCATTAAGGAGAGTTACACCAATTACAGGACTCACTACTGATGAATTGTTATCAATATTTGATGGTAATTTCCAAGTCGCTCTATAACAGAAGAGATGAGACGAGAAGTATTGTGTGTTGGGCCTGTTGGCATGTGAACGTGATCAATCTTGTAGACTTTGTTCATAGTCTACATTGGGATGCCGAAGATCGTCCGTTGCAAGCCCAAGTCCAAGATACTATCATCTGATAGTATCAAACCGCAGTTTTGCTAACCAGTTAGGAGAGTAACCAACAAGTGTTGCAAGTTGGAAGAGGCAACGATCGAAAGTTGAGACCAAGAGCTGTGCTTATCAAAGCAATAAAAATCCTTATTGTGAGCACGAGCAGTCGACATCAAAGAAAGAAGCAGACCTAGTGATGTTAGGGAAACACGAGAATATGAGACGTACTTCATTCCTTCCAACCACGAAAGTAGACGTTCCAACGCTATGTACAGTGCACCTTATTGCTCCCTCGGATCATATTACACTGGTGATCTAGTTCATCATCTCCTCTGGCATTGCTGATGTGGATCTAAACGGCCCAGAGCCAGACGTCTGCGCAGTCAATCCAGAATGGTAAGAGCCTCCATTGTGGGGGTCACTCGAGTAGGTCACTAGGACGATTGGAAGTTTTTCAGGAGGTAACTGGAAATGTAACGAGCAGACTTAGATGCAGTACAAGACCCGTATACCAAAAATTGTATATTCTGATCAGAATAGTAAATCCCGTATCCTAATAACACGCGTTTCTGACGTGGAGCGCGTTCAGGTAGTTTAGTAGGATGTCAGGAAGATTTCTAGAAGATAACTGGAAAGGTAACGAGCAACGCCTTTAGACGTACTGCAAAACCAGTGTATCGAAAAATCTGCATCCTACTCAAAATAGTACAACCCGTATCCTAATGATACACGTGTTTCTGACGCAGAGCTTCAATCCGTCATTTATCCAGAGCTATAGTAGGAACAATGTCCACCTGAGCAAAATGAGGTGAGACACAAGGACCCTGTAGTGTATATTTTTCCGCAGCAATGTCTAATTAAAATATTAGTTCTGTCGATTTTCATTTCAGTGCTCTCTAATTACAATACTTTCCGGCCTTCTGATAAAAAAAAGTTGGAGGAAGAGCGGCGCAGTGTCTGATTAAGCCACACCGCAGCTTGCTCAGGTACCACCCGCTTTCCAAGCTCCCTGTCTCGGTCTTGATGATGCACCGCTTTACTCCACCACAGCGCTTCGAGCTCGAAGGTTCTTTCGCTCGGAACTTCGGATTCGGAACTTCGAGTGTACGCGCTACGAGCATAGCGGCTCTTTCTAAGTAAGGTAACGATGTGGTGCGAGAGGCAAGGAAGGCGGAAGCGCTCGGAAGTATACTAGAATCAGAACCAGCATCAGCATCGGAAGATCGTGTACAGCTAAGACCCGATGTCTAGAAACACCCTTAAACTCTCAGTCGGAAAGGATCTTTGAAATGACTTTGGTGTTGAGCTTCTAAGTCTTGCGAAATCCAGTGTCAGCGCCTCGAGTACTTCGTAGTGTACTATATTTTTAAGTAAAGTTTTCAAGCGGAGCGAAGGTCCGTCTCGATTCCAGATCTGGAGGTCCTACAAACCGAATCCAATGCTGAGAGATCAACCTCCTGTACGAAAGCTGAGTTGAAGAGCCGATAGGTCCAGTCTCAGACCAGTAAATTATATATAGGAGAGTATTATCTACGTACCAATCAGTTCCGCAGACGCCGAAGAAAGGAAGAAGAGGGAGAAGCAGATTCCCAATAAATCCATCTCGCGGACGAGATCTTAATCGAAGAGCCGAGGGCGTTCAAGTTCAAGATGTGGATCACTTGGATTTAGATAGGAGAGGGCCATCTACGTACCAGTCGACTCCGCAGACGCTGAAGAAAGGGAGAAAATGGCAAAGCAGGTTCCAAGAAGGATCCAGCGAAACATAAGAAGCATACGAAACCACGGAAGCGCAAGAAGTCCAACAGAGGCGCTGCGCTGCTACTGCGCCCGCCCACTTATTCTATTTGCCGTTCCGTTAATATTAATATCAATACTTAAATTACAGACTCGGTCCTACCGGTGGCGCGTACACCCACCAACCAATCTAACCAATCTACCAACCTCCGACGAACACGCAATTGTCTGTGGTGCGCAGTAACATTAGAAATAGTATTGGTATTGACAGAAGTTAGAAGCCAGGAAGTTAGGGGTCCAAGGAGCTAAGGAGATGTCCGAACGCGTTTCTCGACACTCATTTGAGGTAGTCCATAGATCCGACGTCCCGTGCGGAATCGGATGTACCTCGATTGGGTCGTTGAATGAGCTGCTGTGCATTAGAGTGTCGGTATAGGCGCCAAGCGGAACAGATATATTTATATCTACAAATCTATATGTCCATGAGCGCAAGAAGCATATGATTACTTACCTACTAAATACGTCTGTCAGGGTAGCAGAAAATACGAAACGCATTAGTGGCGTTTGGCAAGCAAAGAGAGAGTCAAGTAGCGGTCCATATCCATGTCTAGGCGTAGAGTCTTCTTCTGTCCTCTTAGATGAGATATCACAGATTCGTAGATTCGGAGAGCTTTTGAGCGAGAAGTCGAGAGTCGAGACTTCCGAGCTGATAATGCCGACGATAAGACAAGCGCTTCGGCGAACGGAAGGACAAAAGTCCGAGAGATCATATCTTTGTTCATAGCATATTCTACGAATCTATAGCGTCACGCCGAGTCATAGAGAAGTCAAAAATCATCCACAAAAGGCTACACTTGCCGAAAATAACCAACCTATCGAAGCGAGGCGGTGAGTCAGTTCGACTTATGGAAGAGGTCAAGAGGGTCAAGAGGGGTCGTCCAGCTCAGGGCCGTCAGGAATCCCGCACATCCAATATGTTTATTTTCGCATAGAGGGGTGGTCGTGGTACTTTCGGAGTATACGCAGCTCATGTATGCGCACGGTAGGAACGGAGTAGGACCCACATGCCCAATGAACTTCGAGTGCTTCTACGCTCCCTAGTATAGAAGAAGTCGAAGCCTGTGCATGACTTGAATTCAAGGCGGTGAAAATTAGACGCCAGGGTGTCCCTTACAGGATCCAGGTCCCCACAGTACTAGTGCGCGTCCGGCGAATTGCGGTCAATTAGACGCTCGCACGACCAGTGCATTAGATAAGCGATAAGTGAAAGCACAGTCACAAGACAAAAAATCAAAGAGCAGAAATGATTATTGTAAAGATCAGAGCAAAGCCATGGCCACATTTAGACGAACTTTTTATCGTTGGCTAGGAGAAAGAAGGCCAATGTGAAACAAAAGGGGGTGAAAGGGAGCAGCTGCGCCCATTGTTCGTTGTAGCCGAGGTTTGCAACGGTTGGATATGATCACTAGAAATGACTTCCAAAAAAGGAAGGCGGGATAGGTACGCGACTGGCTGTGCGCTTGACTGGCTGGGCAACCGCGATGTCGTCGCAGGATCTTTCGTTCCGTCACCCCATATGCTTTGGCATCTCTCTGCAAGCGCTGGATGACGACGGGAGATGCATATGGGGAGGATATGAGATGTGCTGCGCGTTTTGTTGTGATGCGATCAGGATCACGGCGCTGCGGAGGAGCGGTGTCACTCCATACCTTTGTCAATACGTGTCGTGAGCGGAAAAGAGAAGGACCTGGTTAGTGTTGGGGAGTCATCGCCTCGTCGACGATCTATAATCGGACCCGCGTCTGAATTCCTTGCTTCTCTGAACTGGAAATTATGGATCAGGGTCGCTGCACCGGACGAACTCCCATCCTGGGGTTTCGTCCACGTCCTCTCTCTAATCCCGCATAGATCAAGGCTGCGCAACCGCATATCCTATAAAGCTCTCCTTTAATTACTGCCACCCATTCCAACCACTGTCGCCATCAACCAACCCATACGGGCCCCGTTGTCTGCTATTTAGACAAACGCACACGCGTGTACTTACCCACACCACCCTTTACCTCTTGTGCATTGGCCTGCCTGCCACTAATTAGCAGCGTCGCCGTGCCACAGTCCTTGTCGTTGCCGAACAACGATAGCTACTTAAAGTCCACGCTTGTCATCCTGCGTTCTGCTCTCAATAAAGCTATCTCCATTCTGACCAACGCTACCGCGCCCACTTCGTCTTCGTCTTCCACTTATTCGAACACGAACACGAGCACGAACACGAACACGAACACGAACGCGCGCACATTCACCGACGCAATGGCCTCATCCTCTTCAGTCGCGCCAAAGCGCGTCCACTTCTCCGATTCTCCTCTCACCTACACCTACACGCCACCCGCCACGCCGCGCACTCCCTCGCCGACATGGTCAGACTCCTCACTGCCCGACAATGACTCGGGACCTTCCACGCCTCCTCCTTCGTCGACGACCTTCTTTCCACCGCACGACGCATCAAGCGGCAAGAAGCAGGCTTCTCCAAATGCACTGCTGTTTGATGCACGAACACAAGCGGCAGCGCTCATGTGGAACGTCATCGTGCCACCGAACCAAGCTACCGTGCGCTCGTTGCGCAAGACCAGCAAGGGCAAAGACGTCCTCACGGCTCTCCACCCTTCGGACCTCTCCCAATCCGCTACCAATCCCGGGTCATCCTCGCTCGACATTCGCATCGCGCAACTCCCGCTGTTCTGGAAACCCATTCAGCTCCGTCGAGGCGCGTCGTATGGCGCTGGCGCAATACCGTTCACTGTTGCCGAGGTCATAGAGGCCGTTCATCGTTACGTCCAATTACCGATCTCGCAGAAGGAATACAACATGTTCCCGAAGGACGTGCAGAACAACATCGCGAAGGCGTACTGGAAGCGATATGACGCTTCTGCGAACGCCGGGAATGCCACGGAGGCGGAGAAGATCAAGCGCGGTGGACTTCGACGCGTCGACGCGCTTGGCGGGAACACCCAGTTCGTTGCGTTCATCCCTGCTCCCGGGACGGATACCTGGCAGGTCATTCTCACTGCGCCGAGGTCGTGAACGCGTCCCGTTCCGACTTCCGACCTCCGAACTGCAACATCAACATCAACACTTCCCGTCTGGCATCTTACCTACCTTATTCCGTCCCCCTATTCGATTCCGTCCGTTTTTATTGATTTGCACTTATTCGACGCCACGCACCTAGACTGTATCCATACCCCACACGAAACCTAAAAAAAGGTCAAACGAACAAAAAGAAGAACGCACGTAGCATACCATTCCTATACCCCAACCCATTCTAGTTTTATTCTACTGTTCGACGTTTTTGACGCTTCGATGGTTCGATGCTTTTTGATGACGACTTCTTCTCCTCTCGATGATGCTGTTTGACGATGACAAAGAAAAGAAAAAGACATACCGTAATAGCTGGTTGTACTCGTATTTTATGCTGTAACTGTTATGATTATCTTACCTTAATGGTGGTTGGACGGGGTTATTGGGCGTTTTGCTTGTCTTGTATGAATATAATTCTTGTACGCACACATCCACTTCTACTTGTGTGATTTGAGTCTCGTGTGCTCCGCATCTTGCATAATTTGAGTTTTGTCAGTGAATCGAGATGAGTAAGTGGAGACGAGAAAGAATATGAGGTGAGCTGAAAACAGAGTTACTGATTGGCTGTGTTGTGGTGGGGGATGTGTGATCGGTTGAGCAGTTGAGCGATGAGGGATTGGCGTCGGAACTTTGAGTGTGTTAGTGCCGACTAGACTAAAGTCAAACACTCGTGCTTTGTAGAGTACTGAAAAACTAGTGGTATGCCATCTGAGTTCAAGGATCAGAGAGTTAGTTCGAGTCCCAGATTGCGATGACGGATTGACAAGGAGACTTCGACTACGTTAACGCCGATGAGACTTTGGACTGAGACTAGAGCTCTGCAGAAGCCCTGAAGAAAGGTCGACTGGCGTCTAGGTCCAAGAATGTGCCAGCGCCAGTAGTATGCATGTGTGTATAATAGCTGATAGACAATAGGATCCTTGTCGGGAGTAGCTATATGCAGGTACACGAAACATTAATACAGCACAAAGGGCTGGTATACATACTCACCCTCAGGTAGGATTGACGCGGGCAAGAGGAGACGAATGATTCCCCCTCTCAAGCCCCTCGCTGTCGCTACTTATATACCCTAGCCCTCAATCTCCAGCCGAAATGGGCGTCAAGCAAAGTCATACCATCCAGTAGAATAAGGAATAAACACGTTGTTATGCCTTTGATTTTGATGTTAGTTTTGATCTTTGAATGGGAAGCGGTGTGAAGAACGTCGACAATGCGGAGAACACGAGGCAGGCGACTACTTGATTTGGGTTAAGGGATGGATACAGCGACCTCTTCGTTAGCGAAGGCCAAGACGTAGCGCTATTCTGCATGATTGTTGACATTGAGAGATGTCGGGCTGGGATGGAGGGAGTATAGCCCAAGGCAAGGTGATAAGTGAACTGTGGACATTAAGTAAGAGTGAGATATTTTGAATACGCACGTGAAAATGGGTGCTGGGCATGACATACCCTTTGTCTGTCTCAACTTTCACAAGCATTGTGAATATGACAAGGCAAGAAACACTTGAGAAAGACGATTCTTGGCATCAAGAAAGTTGTAGTGAATCCCAAAGGTCAGATAGAGGTATCCTGCCAGTGGAAAGCTTCATTGCGACCGACAAGTATTTGAGCATCGAAGGAGAGAGTATCGTAGTTGCCGCTATTAGGACCACTCTTATACTTATAAACGTGATATTTCAGAATGACTCAAGTTCTTGTGGAGAGATGACTCGTCAACTTTCATTTCTTAATATTTGGTTGTCACAAAGGCGTAGGACGTACCGACTTTATGTCGCTCTGCAAGGCTTTTCATATGCAAAACTCTTCAGAAAGTCACAACTTTCGTACATATCGCAGCATAGTATGAATTTCATGTTCAGTTAAAAGGTATGTAAACAAAAATTGAAGGCAAAGATGTCGTGGTTGCAGCCAAGGACGCCGTGAACTGAACGATTGAGGTGCCGAAAAGTATGATCGACGATCAAGGAATACGTAATCCATCAATTTAACGTAAAGTGCAAAAGTCGTGGTGTGGCCACCGAATTCTTTGCAATGTATCATGGCACTTTGATGCCTGCTGAAAGTGAGTTTGTATGATATATTATAATTAAGTGTTCCTATACTCTTTTAGTATTGTTTACAAAGCTGGTAAGGTATGTTCTGCATGCAACTTTCACGCCTTGAGTATTAATTCGGAATGGCAATGTATGTAGATTCCAAATCGACTGCACGTAACATCAGCAATCACCGTTTGGTGCGAATCGGACGTCTCACGAAATGCTATACACGTCGGAGGTCATGGCCGTGCAGACTTCTATGCTTCGGATGGGTACACCCGGAGCGCGCCTAACTAGGCTCAAGTTCCACCACAGCTGCGTTTATTGAACCAGGGCTTCGTCTGACGAAGATGCTTTTGACTTTGACTCCTGTTGTGTTCGGTACGAAACTTATACCAACAGACCACTAATACTTCCAAGCGCGCATTGATGCAAATCCTGAATCCAAACCTCGGAACCCAATGCACCCCAGCGTGGACAGCCAACTATCCAGATAGTTCTGTGAACAGATAAACTCCTGCTAGTTAATTCGACCAAAGAACTCTGCTGTGTGGCTCCGGGTAACAATAGGCAGCATTGATAGCCAATTCCTTTCCTTATCCATGCCCGCCATCCTCATGTGCATAGGGTTGCCTCTACGACACTGTGTTTTGTTGAGAAGTTACCCTGTTTCTTTGCCAGGTAGTATCATTTCTAAATGCTAAGATTCGCGTACACATCATCTTCATGTCATGGTCGGCATAATATCCCGCTCGAGTCCGATTATGATGAGCTTTGAGGTGGGAAGGTATGCATAGGCGCGCACCAAGTCAAGATTCTCCACCTCCTGTCGCGTCCATGTGAATCAGAGTCAAAATCAGACCTCCTAAAAGGGAAGCCGATTCCTCTTCGGAATGGCCCAATCCCTGTTCCCCTCTTCTTACCATGACAGCAAGCAATTGAATTGAATGATTCTTCCGGCTTTTCACGTCAGCCCCACCCTCCAACGTAACTGAATGGCTCCGACCCTTACGACTCTTCTTCAAATCTTCTGCACGCACAGGATTGCATGTGAAATCTTCTTCGAGGCGCAGCACGCCTTCGATGCGAATGACAGACTATGTCAACAGACCATCGAATATCGCAATTATGTGTGGTGGCATCACAATCTGTAACACTTTCTTACTCAGTTCAAGCTCGAGCTGCCTCCGAACTCCTGTTTATCGTATTGAGTCTTTGCAGGTACCTCAAAGCTTGGGCGGTGGCGATTCAAGAATTAGCGAGGATTGCGAATGCTTTGCCCCGGCAACAGAGACGCTCAACGTCTCCTTTTTACAGCGCGGGTACTTTCTGTCTCCATTGGTAAGATCGTTTCATTCATCTCCAGCCTGGCTGATGGTACACACGCCCTCAGCTATTAATACTTTATTAGATTTAAAAGCGGTATAAATTTCTTAGAGTATTTCTGCATACTCCTGATAGTTTAGGAGCATATGCAACCTCCGCTGTGAAGCTTTTCCCTGGCTATACGCTGAACATAGCTTCGCAAGTAATTTCAGCAGCGGTGACTCCGCCAAAGACCGCGAGCGCCTATCTCGTCGGTAATCTTAATCTCGATCAGAATTTATTATGGCTGAAGATCTTTCCGCCGATACCAAATTTGTGTACCGCCATCAGCACCCATGTCTGGAACTTTTTGCATAATGTCATAAGTATGCTGTGCATAGGCACACACGCCCTTCTCCCTTGACCTCCGCAACTTTGGCAACGCTGACTTCACCCTAGCGGTTATTGCAAGACCTGTGCTGGTTTGGCTTCCTGACCTGCCCCGCGTCCACGTCGCCTGCGGTGCAAGGCCGGCTCCGATTTGGTCAGCAGTTACGCGCGACGCACAGCGGCGCGCCTCGTATTCATCATAAAAGATCGTACTTGACGCCCTCATATTTGGTATCCTTCCACCCATCTGCCTTCGCCTTCTCCATCTGACTACTGACGACAGAAAAGATTAACGCTTGATACCCAATTGCTTCATACTCTTAAGCCATGCCTTACAGCTGGGATCCTGCTGGTTTTCCAAATTACATCCCCTCAGATCGAGGTGACGACGACGACTTTCTGAGACCTGTCGTACCTTCTCCACGGCTATCGCCTATCCCTTCTCCACGCGGATCACCTAATCCTACGCCGATGTACCTCGATGAGCACTACAACTATGTGCAACCCGCAACGGGTTATATCGGTGTGCCGATGATGCCCACTGGGTTTGTACCTCTACCACCTAGTCCATCTATGCTATCCGCATCGTTCGTGCCGCTTCCCCCAAGCCCGTACGGAAGTCCTCGTCTCGGACCGATCCCGTTAAGTCCACATAGTCCGGGCGGCATGCTGGGCGCATATCCACAATACCATCAACCCGCACATCCATTTGATCCATATTACTTCCCGCAAGGTACGGCGATGCAGCAATGCCACGCTTATCAGTATAATTTGCTTACGCCTAGTTTTGCAGCTGGAAACCGGTACATGAATCTCCACTATACCCCGCGAACCAGTGTACATCCGTTACTTAAGGATGCAGAATACATCCATCTCGATCTCGCATCGCATTCATTTAAGCCCATGACGCCAAATGGCAACTGGGTCTCACGAAGATATAACCCAATTCACGAAGGTTATCTATCGCAAGTCGCTACGTATCCGTACGCGACTGAATTAAAGATTACTTGCAAAGTACTCGGACCATTTGCAGGTACTTGGGTTATAAAAGTCAAAACGGGTCGGACTGTCTCGGTTGGCGACGTTCTCAAAGCGGTATACGAGGGCTTGCACACTCGAATGACGCACGCGGAATGGGCAAAACTGACAGAAAATGAGGCGTACGAAGCTGCACGACAATATACACGCCGATGTCGTGAGGCCGAGTTTGAAAGGGTGCAGGGCGTTCGGCGGGTTGATCTTCTTGGGAAGAAGCATTGGTTTGGCGGACTGAAGAAAGTGAGGGATGATGACTCGTATAACTTTGAGTTATTGGTGAAGGCAGAGTGATCTATGGTTTCTTTGATCATCTTCTAGCATCTCTTAACATCTGGTTCTACGGAAGTCTTGTTCCCTTATAATATCTTACGTCTCATTATCGAAGCGATATGTTGCTTCTGTATTGATTCCGATAATTGCAGGTCGAGGATAAATCTGGATAATTGATATTTATTATGCAACCTTTGCTCAACTTTCGATTTTGATTTTGCACAGCATGGATTCAAATAGAATTTCAATTAACCTGTCGTTGATCTACCATCGTTTCCACACAACGCAGATGCCACGACGTGGCCGTGTAAACGTTAAAATAGTAACGTGTGCTCAGACCGACCTGAGCTTGTATTTAAAGGGCTGATTTTCTTCCCATTGTTGCCAGCTGGATAGCTTTAATTGCCCTGTCGTGTGCCAGACTTAAGGTTCTTCGACCCGACTTCCGCTGCCTCGCACAGATTGTAACCAAGCAGACTCCAGAAATCCACAACTTTGCCAATCTGTTACAATACAACTATTCCGATGTCGGATCAGTGACTTAGGGTAAGAAACCCATGGAAAAGATGCACATGCGAGGTCTATGAGGCAAGGACAAAGCAATACTTGGTCAAAGGTCCAGATGTACAGAGACAAACTAGTGATCGGCTAGAGGCAGTTATGTGTAAGAATGACGGCACAGAACTATGATATTATCCAGCAGAACTGGAGCTGAATGGACGTTATTCGGGATATTTATTTACGATCATGAGATATCTGTCAAGTAATAATCCTCGTTGAAAGAATTAGGGCTTGATTTTGAAAATGGCCGACAGTCTGGCACGTTACAATACGTAAAACGCAGGAACACGATTTAACGAATTTTCCGAAGCCAAGGTTTGTAAGAGAATACTCCAGAGTCAGTAGTAACTCGAAGTCTCGATTGTCGACGTGCCTGACGAACGGCCCGGTCGGAACGCTCCAGATTTCAGAGAAGGTCACGAGACGAGATAACCGTCAATAGTATTGCTATTTAAGACGGCGACGCATACAAAGATCTGAACCGGATCCTTTACAATGGCAGTCAGTGCACCCAAGATCAAGCTCAATAACGGTGCCGAAATTCCAGTAATCGGCCTCGGTGGGTGATGATCAGCTTTCTTGTTCACTCTGTGACGCCATTATTGACATTGGATATATTGTTAGGCACTTGGAAGTCGCAGCCAGAAGAAGTCATCGAGGCTGTCAGGTACGCACTTGCTGAGGGAGGATACAGACACATCGATTGTGCAGCGTGAGTAAGCGTTATCTCCGGATGTCGCGCAATTAATTATAATTTTCCTTCTATTAACAGGGGTTATGGAAATGAAAAGGAGGTCGGAGAGGGCATTCGGAGGTCTGGAATTCCTAGATCCGAGATATTCGTTCGTGCTTTACACCTCGTAAATGCTACGAAATTCGTATCTGATTACTCAGGTATTAAATGCAGTTGACGAGCAAGCTGTGGAGTACATATCACTCACGCGTCGAAGAGGCGTTAGACAAGACTCTCGCAGACCTCGGGGTTGATTACCTTGACTGTGAAATGAATCAAACTCTGCTGTAGTGAGCGCTGCTAATATGTTTGTCCTATGCTTAGTGTACCTCATGCATTGGCCAGTACCCTTGAATCCGAAAGGAAACCATCCTCAATTCCCGACGCTTCCTGATGGCACGCGCGATATTGACTATTCGTGGTCGATAGCTGATACATGGAAGCAGATGGAAGAGATGGTCAAGAAAGGTGCGATGAGCACTTACTACCTTGACATATTTGTGAAAAAGAAAATCACTGTGGAATATCTTGATCAGGCAAAGTGAAGTCAATTGGTGTATCGAACTTTTCGCAGAAGAAACTTGAGGAAATCTTACCCACGGCAACAATCACCCCCGCAGTGGACCAGGTATGACATCACACTATATATCACTGGTCGCATTATCATTCACCATAATGTGATTTCTTGCAGCTTGAAATTCATCTATATAATCCGCAACACAATCTACTTTCATACCTGAGATCCAAAGGTATCCGACCACAAGCATATTCCCCTCTCGGATCAACTGGATCTCCTCTTCTATCTGATGAACTCGTCAATGAACTTGCGAGGAAATATGATACGCAACCAGCGCATATTCTTCTTGCTTACCTAGGTACTAAGCTCGCTTCATTATCGGCTTATTCCATTATCAACACTAATGAATACTTATCGATCTCATTTCGGTTGCAAACAGTAAAGAAAGACATTGTTGTCTTAGTCAAATCCGTCACCCCAGCACGCATCGCTTCTAACCTATCCGGCACACTTGCGGCGGTACCTAAACTTACTTCGGAAGATGTGGAGAAGCTTGATGGTGTTGCTGCTGCTGGGAAGCAGAAGAGATTCGTGACGCCTCCGTGGGGTAAGCTGATTCATACTTCATTTCCACTAGATATTTTTATGAAGCTTTCATCTGATATCTGATGTTAATTTCTGTATAGTTATTGACCTCGGGTTTGAAAACTGGCCGTGATGGATTCATGAACGAATTGATGTATGAAGAGAGATAAATGATGCATATAATAGGTTTGCAACTGATCAAAGGAAAGGGACTTTCGATGAACTCATTACTAAAATTTCGTCAGTGTAAAGATTGCACAGGTCCTTACACACCATATCAATTATCTCGGAAATAGAACGGCTTTGTCCTGGGCGCTACTCAAGGTATGAGTAAGAGATACAATATCAGCACAGAAAGTTCTGCTGTGCCCCTACATGTTCCGATGTCAAGAAGATGTTCTATGATTCATATTGGCCGCCGTGGCACCATTGGCAGATGACAAGACACGAGGGCCATTCAGAATGGGCAGAATGCGACAATATCGGAGACACGCTGCAGAGATTGCACAGCTCGATAATTGTGTACGCTCAATGGCACATTCCGTGAGAGACGCGGGAGATTTATTCGTTATGTTTTGCAGGGATGAAGGGAAAATGAAAAACAATTTAAATTGGTAACGGAAGTAATTTTATTTCATCTTGGACGGAAGCATTTGTCCGTGAACCATATCGAATGTCATATCTCGAGAGGTCCCGAGCATGGAACGAATGGTAAGAAGATGGATGCTTTTGAGTAAGATTGATTGACACCACAAAGACTTGAGCAGTCACTTGGCAGTAGGAAATGGTGAAAAACTTTCCCCTCTGCCGAGGAAGTAAAAAAGAGTCACCGAGGCACGATACACAGCCTTGAAACGAGACATTCAGCAGCGTAATGATGGCTATGATGCGTAGCAACTTCGTGAAGATAGGCTTTTGCATTTTTGCATGGGTGCGCCGCTTTGGAGCGGACTCGGGTTCGTGGTGGTGATAGTTGATATCGTCTCGAATCCTCGAGGCCGATGGCGTGGCAGTGCTTAGTACAAGACAAAGAATATATTCATTCATAAGCATGGGAATGGGATACCCGGATGCGTCTTTGCTGTGAATGGGAGATGAACGGATTATAACCTTCCCGCACGCGGAGATGATCTGGAAGGTCCCGAATCATAGAACCGGTGTTTATCATCCTTGAATAAGTACGATAAATTGCCTGTCTTGTCATTTTGAATGGCTTTGTAGGCTAGCAGATTGCAATGTGGCAGGTGGTCTAAGTGCTAGCGGCGGAAGTCAACAGGGATTCACTGGGGCTCGATCCAATGATGCCCGCTTTTGTATAATTCTTATGCTCGAAACACGCACGTGTTCGGGGCTTTAGCGTTTCATTCTAAGCCTCTTTCTGTTTTCCATCGCTTGAATGAGCATAACGCATGTCTGTTTCATATCCAGCGTAAAGGCACCCGAGCGTCGGCGAGGCGAAAGAAGAAACGTCGAAGAGAGACCGATCGGAGTCGCTTGAGAGTTTGTTGTCCAAATACGGAAGGGCCGATCATGAAAATTTTCGTGCCCGTCATGCCATTGTGAGGTGAGGATATCTGCGACCCTTGTTGCGCTCACGACGAAAAACTGGGCAGTCGCCTTCCTGAAACTGCTTCTGCATTCTATATATGTGCAATTAATTTTGTTCCATGACGTGGAATCTTTCTGTACTTGCCAACAGGGGAAAATTACAATTGGCATCAGGCGTACAGTGAAACCTCTCATTAAGCATTGCCCTTGGTGGACATAAAAAGTAATGCTTATTAAGAGGTTATGCTTGTTAACAAGTAAAATTCTAGTATCTACAAGAGTAATGGTAGACCTGAAATGTCATGCTTAATGAGAGGTTATGCTTAACAAGAGTAATGCTTAATGAGAGGTTTCACTGTATTAGGATAATGGAGATTACTATTAATTGGGTATGTGCTCGGACATCCCCTTTGCCACCGGGACCACCATCAGCACACACACGGCCGACTTCTTAGAAACACAGCTTTGGCACTGGCAGGTGGCCACTCGCTAGGATATATAAGCGCAGGATCTCTCTGTCGCTCGTTTTATTCAGCACCCAAAGCGACCGAGGCACTCCACCTGTCTTCACCTTTCTGGTCCTACTCTAGATCTCGTCTCACTTTTTCTTCTTCATTGCTCTCTTCGTCGTTTCTCTTTGCTTTCTAATAACCGTCATGCCTGGCCTTACTGTTCGCGATGGTCGTCTCCTGGATGAGACCTCCGACGCCATTGATGAAGGTATGTGTTTACTGTCTTTTCGCTTTGCCATCGGCTTACCAACGTTATCCGGCATTTGGTGGTACAGTTAACGTCATAAAAGGACAAATCACGGCGGAATGGAACTCGGAATCAAACTTCGACGCCGAGAAGGACAAGACGCAGTTCCGACAGTACGAGACCGCGTGTGATCGCGTTAAAGCATTCTACAAGGAGCAGCATGGTATGTACAGTATTCTTTGCCTTTTCCATTCGGTAATTCTGATGGTATGATTGCCTTTACCCGTGAAACAGAGAAGCAGACCGTCGCGTTCAACCTGAAGGCGCGCGAAGAGTTCAAAAAGACCAAACGTGCGCGGATGAGCGTTTGGAAAGCCATTGAGCTGCTCAACACGCTCGTGGATGACTCCGATCCGGATGTACGTTGTCTCCTCACATTTGCTCGCATCGATGCGATACACCACTGAGCACTTTATGCATTTGTGCTTTTTAGACGAGCGTCTCGCAGATCGAGCATCTTCTGCAAACGGCTGAGGCGATTCGGAAGGATGGGAAGCCCGAATGGATGCAGGTCTGGACCTTTGCTTCCTTCCGCGACCCTGTGCTTCTCAAATGCTGATTCATACCCACTTTCAGGTTACCGGTCTCGTTCATGACCTCGGCAAGCTCCTTCACTTCTTTGGTTCAGAGGGACAATGGGATGTCGTGGGAGTTAGTCATCCCCGATGCTGTGTGATGCTTAAATTAGAGTCTGACGACTTTCGTATTCATCGTTTCAGGATACATTCGTTGTTGGCTGTGCCTTCTCGGATAAGATCATCTACCCCGGCACCTTTGAGAATAACCCGGACTCGCATGATCCCGTGTACTCGACAACGTATGGAATCTATAAGCCGAATTGTGGATTGGAAAACGTGATGCTTTCGTGGGGTCATGATGAGGTACGTGTTTTAGCGATGTCCTGCCGTAATTTTTTTTTCTTTGCTCATTTCATCATACTTGTTTCGAAATTTAGTATTTGTATAACGTATTGAAGGATCAGAGTTCGCTTCCGGAGGAAGGTCTCGCGATGATCCGATACCACAGTTTCTACCCGTACGTCACTCTCACCCTACTTCATGTCGCTCTTTTCCTTACATATCTCCTGTCATCTCTAGATGGCACCGGGAGAACGCTTACACGTACCTAATGAACGAAAAAGATAAGAAGACACTCGAAGCTGTCCGTGCTTTCAACCCGTACGACCTCTACAGCAAAAACGACGAACAGTGCAACGTTGAGAAGTTGCGCCCTTACTACGAAGGCTTAATCGCCAAATTCTTCCCTCCCGAACTTGACTGGTAATCGATAACGATAGATTCAAATTTCTATTGTACACTTTCCTTCTGGATAATTGCTAGACTGCTTTCTCTTCGCTATCATAACTCCGCGGATGGATACCCCTCCAGTTCTATAATTCTCATTTTAAAATTTCTTATAAAAAGTCGAGAGACTATCATCCAACTAATTGTTGACATAGATTTTTATCATTATTCTTTTATCGATTGCTTTAAATCCTCTCTTTTTTTTACTATTGACAGTTTTATAATACCGCTCATCGGATACTTCGAAGTACTAGTTGTCGTTATTGGATAGAAATATATCTAGAATTGCTCGTGCTGTTTATCGAGTAAAGTTAGGTATTAGGTTAGCTTAGAATACACAAATAGTTCGTCGGCAATATTAATAAGTGTCTAAATAGTAGTTGCAGTTATTAAACAATGCAAAGTTGTAGCATTGCCCGTCACGTGCGCTTCACTGAGGCGCGGTCGGATAAACCCAGCAACAACACATTCTAATACTTGAAACTGCCATTCTAGCATTATTCTTGGAACAAACCACTTACTACAAGGTTTGCCGGTACCTTCTTTGCAAACGAACTACCTATATGTCTGCTCTGGTATTGTTGTACTAACAGTCCTGTGTTCTTAGAAGTAATACACAAGGTTACTTGATCAATTGCTTGATCAGTTGATTGTAGCTGTGATGTATTTGCTTTTATTAGATTGCACTCTGGATTAGGAAATCCCTAATTGCCTTATGTAGAATTACTGCACTTGGAATGTCTCAGATTATCAGACTTCACTATGTAGTATATAAGGTAGATACTTGCTTGATGTCTAAATAAGAGAGAGTACTTGAGGCACTCCTACTACACTTATTAAAAGGTTATGAGCCTTAATGCCTATTGAATGCCCCCACACACTTGCTCTTACAGAACACCTTTGCCTCCTGCCAGACCACCAAGCCCAAGACCTCCCTCTCCCCCTAAACCCATTATAATGTTGTCTACAGTACATACCTTTGTTAACACTACAATGAAGGACTCTGACATTACAAAGTTCTTTGAGGGAACAGAAAAGTTGGCTAGTGTGAAGGGATACAAGATATGGTGCTTGCACATACACAGTGCACTCACTGCCATAATGCTCTTAGACCATTTAGAGTATGATCCCCCTTCCTCTGATGATGCTAGCATATGTATAGGCAATGTTTTGTATCATTGTATAACAAAAACAATAACTGATACAATTTATGTGAACTTCACAACACATACAAGTGTTAGAAGTCTTATGAAGGTGCTTTCTGAATGATACAACATTCAAACAACAATGACACATGCTGTAGACATATCTATATTGTTTACAGTAAAAGGGCATGTATTACAGTTTGATAAGATGTTAGACAATATTGAACAAATCTACAGGCAGTTGTCTGTACATAATAAAGCCCTTAATAACAATACATACATCTCAGCAATTAACCTCACTACTCCTTGTGAGTATAGATGGGTAGCAACAATGCTAGACAGGCAGATTACCTATTATAATCAACTACCAACAGTTACAACAGCTTAGAAAGACATTCTGACACTAGCTAAGTTGATACACAAATTATGAAACACATATACTGAGTATCATTCTCAGTACTCTCAAACAAAACAAGATACTGAATGAGACAGCCTACAAACAAAAGGCAAAAGTGTAGCTAAAGGTAAAACAAAGCCTTACAATAAAGTTAAATGCTACAACTGTAATAAGTACAGGCATATGTTAAAAGACTGCTGAAATCCTCTAACAAGCAAAACAACAGAAGCTTGAAAGAAAAAGTATAGGCAAACAGTTACTACTTCTACTACTACTACTATACTGTCTCAACCTGTACTTAATACAGTAGTATTCATTGGAGACAATAACAAAACAGTATTCATTGAAGACATTAATGAAACACTAATGCTAGAGTCTGTAATTGTAGAAGCCTTAGTATCAAGTTCAAGCAGCTTACCTATTCAGTCCACTCTATCTACTGAATCTGACATATTTTCAGTATTCAAAGTACAAGAGGATAGTGTCATACAAGTAGACAACTTTATGAACTCATTTGACAATACAAAAGAAGTCATTAAGGAGTTCAATTATGATCCAAATGTATGTATCAATACAATACATTGTAATGATACTGAACTAATACATTGTATTGATATATTAGACTCTGGTGCAAATGTACACACTACTCTATACTTGTTCTGTCTTACAAACGTTCAGAACTCGACCCTAATAAACATTACAATTGTAAATAAATTGTTATTCACACTTAGCAAAAGTAGAGTAATGACATTTAATGTAAAACTATGAGACAAAGCTAATGAGTATACAAAGGTGAATACAATTTCACTACAAAACATATACTATTATCCCAATCTGAACTTCACACTTGTTAGTGAAGCACTATTATGCAAAGCAGAATATGTTTTAATGAAAACAAACAATGAATGTATTATTTATTCTCCTGCTCATACAAAGATTGGTGAAATACATGTATGAAATAACTTGTATATGATAGTTTCTCATCATAATAAACGATCTATTAACACAATCACTATTGTTGATTTACATTGACAAATGGGTCATGTTAATTTTGATTACTTACACAAACTCATACAAGAGTATCCTGAGATTATAAGTCAAAGGATAACAGACAATAAAAATGCACAGTGTACAGATTGTATCAAAGCAAACATACAATGTAATGAAATACCAAAAATACAAACAACACCTCTTACACAATCCTATGGAGATCATCTCCATATTGATATATGGGGACCTGCCCTAGTACAAGCTTATGGTAAGTACAAATATCTTTTTACCATTGTAGATGATGCTACACAATAAGTAACTATGCTACCTATACAGTATAAAAGTAATGCTTTCACTGAATATGTAAAGCATACAACAAAACTCTTTATACAGTATAGTATAAGAGTTAAAACTCTCTAAAGTGATAACAATACAGTGTTCCTAAGTAAAGACTTCACTATGTACATTGAAAGTCAAGGAACAATATGTAGATTAACAGTACACAATACACTGTAGCAGAACAGAGTTGTAGAACATATACATAAGACTATCTTTAACAGTGTATGTATGTGTCTGTTATTAGTAAAGTTACCTATGAAATTCTGGGTATATATGGTACAATATCAAACGTTTATTCATAACAGAACATTAAGAGTTGCTATCAATTTTGCAACACCATATTACAAACAGTATAACAAACATTATCAAATAGATAATATACAAGAATTTGGTGTATATTGTATTATACAGAACGAACAAACACATAAAC